CATCCGAAGTCTGCTAATTTTCGGATTCGTCGCAAATCGAAATTTTCCTAATATTCTAAACGAATTCCACTTCGCCAAGTTCGATTCGCTCATCTCTAGACATGATGCTATACTCTGATTAAAAAGTGTCCATTTCATTTTTTTGAGCAGTATATATACACAATGGGGAAAAAAAAATAATTATTTGATCCCCAGCAGATTTAGTAAGTTTGCCCACTCACAAAGAAATAAAGGGTCTACACTTTTTATTATAGGTGTATTTTAAATTATAGAGACAGAATATCATCCAGAAATCCAGAAAAAACACATGATACAAATGTTATAAATTGGGTTGCTGTTCAGTCAGTAAAATAAGTATTTGATCCCTAAGGAAAATATGACTTAGTACTTGGTGGAGAAACCCTTGTTGGCAAGCACAGAGGTAAGACATTTCTTGTAGTTGGTTACCAGGTTTGCACACATTACAGAAGGGATTTTGGTCCACTCTTCTTTACATGACTTCTCTAAATCCTTAAGGTTTCTTTGCTGCAACTTGGCAACTCGAAGTTTCAGCTGTTTCCATAAATGTTCTGTGGGATTAAGGTCTGGAGACTGGGTAGGCCACTCCATGACCTTAATGTGCTTCTTCTTGAGTCACTCCTTTGTTGCCTTGATGGTATGTTTTTGTGGTAATTGCCATGCTGGAAGACCCATCCACCACCCATCTTTCAGTGTTCTGGCTGAGGAAAGACGGTTCTCATCCTAGATTTTACAATACATGGCCCCGTCCATTGGCCTCCCTATGACACAAAGTCGGCCTGAACCTTTAGCTGAGAAAAAGCCCCAAAGCATAATGTTTCCACCTCTGTGCTTGACTGTAGGGATGGTGTTCTTAGGGTCATAGTCAGCAATTTTCTTCCTCTAAACAGGGTGAGTCGAGTTATTGCAAAAGAGCCTTGAGATCATTCACAAGCTCCTCCTGTATAGGGCTGATCCCTCACTTTTCTCATGATCATCCTTACCCATGAGGCAAAATTATGCATGGAGCTCCAGACTGAGGGCAATTGATGTTTATTTTGTATTTCTTCCATTTGTGAATAAACACACTCCAACAGTTGTCTCCTTCTCACCAAGCTTCTTGCTGATGGTCTTATAGCCCATTCCAGCCTTTTGAAGGTCTAAAATCTTGTCCCTGACATCCTTTGACAGCTTTTAAACTGACAGGACTAATGTGTGTACCACATGAGCACATTTTCAGTCTGTGGGAGCCAGAATTATGTTGGTTGATAGGGGATCAAATACTTATTTTATTCACTGAACTGCAACTCAATTTATAACATTTGTATCATGTGTTTTTTCTGGATTTTGGTTGATATTCTGTCTCTATCATTTAAAATACACCTATGATAAAAATTATAGACCTTTTATTGCTTTGCAAGTGGGCAAACGTACAAAATCTGCAGGGGATCAAATAATTATTTTCCTCACTGTGTATATACTGTATCTATCTATCTATCTATCTATCTATCTATCTATCTATCTATCTATCTATATATATATATATATATATAGTATATAGTACACAGTATATATATACATATATATATATATATATATATATATATATATATATCTCAAGTGTGCTTTTAGCCATTTTGCCTTTATCTCTACTGTAATGCTACACGTGACAATCTTCTAGCAACTTTAACCACTTCCAGCCAGCATTGATTATGCACATTGTGGATAGATCGAGGTAGCCTAACATCTCTGACATAGAAAGCGTTGGTGGTTGCCTTATATTTTAGTTTCTAGAAAAGTTTGTGATTGAAGGATGGTTGAAATTGCTAGGAAATACTTGTGTATGGTCAGAATTAGGCTTGTCAGTATTTACTAAGAATCAGTAAAGTAAATTAAGTTTCTATTTATTATAGGAGTTCACATTTGTTGACATTTCTGAAACTAAAGACTGAAAGCTTAACCTTATGCATGACCAACATATCATAACTGGTCAGTAAGATATAATACCCTCATATTAATTAAATGTAAAACCCTTGCTCTAATGTCAGCTGCAGGATGTTAAAACCAACACAAGATGGCAGTGTCCTGCAAATTCAGTGGCATTCACATTCTGCAGTACAGCCCCATGGACCTTGTGTGCTGAATCGCAGGACTTCGCTGGGGAGCAGTGCATCAGAGGACTACTTTTCCCAGAAGTGCTGGCATGTGGGTGGGAGCATATATATATATAGATGCCTGGAGACTGGACAGGAAGTGAGAGGGAAGAGAGATGGAGAGAGTGAGCAGAGAGATATTGGTGCTGACTGCCGTGAGAACAGGACCAGGCCGCAGAGTCAGAGAGAGAAGAAGGAGGAGCCACTGACCGCTGACCTTGCCCCCTTGTTCAGCAAGACAGTCTGCCAGCAGGCGACCCGGAGTGTAGTGACCCAGACGGAATGCTACACATGAGGCCAGAGAAACTTGTTCGCCAAGAGGAGAGACAGTCAGGATCTGCTGGAAGCGCTGATCGGGTGAGAGCCATTAAAGCCATCCCTGTAGATGAATTCACTAGAGCCAGGAGGAACTGTTCCACTAAAGATGCATTTACTGAAGAGTGTAAAAAATCATTAGTGAGAGCCTTAGGGCCAGGGGTTATCCTCATCGTCTATTGACAGAGGTTATAGGATTGCAGTTGCTACAGTACACAGAGAGAATCTCTATTGGAATATTGCTATAATACAGAATCCAGTATTAAGAATGTGGGAAAATGTAAATGCAAAAATCAACAGGTAACTTTTGTTACCTCTCACTCTGCAGAGTATCAGTATATTGTTAATATCATTAAGGAGAACCTCCAATTCTTTTTTCCAATAAGATCGTTGTATGGTGTTTTGAAGAATGGTATTCATTTCTCCAGCCGCATCCTCCAATTTATGTTCAGTTTTATCTCCCAGTCATGTAGTTTCCAGCAGCAGAGTAACACCTTGGTTATCTTTTCCTGGTTCATATAGATGCAGACTAAATACCTGTAGATAGTGCAATCTGCACTTTGTGACCAAGGATTTTATTTCATATATCACAAAGGAAAGTTTTAAAATTTAACAATATATCATTTGTGGTACAGACTATTTAGTTTATCTTATCCAGTGTACTGCATGTAAAATTACAAATATGTCGGCTGCACCATCCATCCACTGCACTGTAGAATAGCTGAACACTATTGTGATAGCCTTAATGAAAAATGCTAGGAACATTTCAAATTGTTTTCCAAACATTTAAAAAATGGTGCATAATGGTAATATGGCTTCATTCATTTTTAATGGTATAGAAAGAAGTGTTGCCAGCTAAAATGGGAGGTGGACAAGATACTCGATACTGATGTTTATTTCAGCAAGAGGTATACTGGATATATAGACTACAGACCCACATCCCTTCTAGACGAAAAAAAAAAATCACAGGTGGGATGTGACCTGTTTCTCAAGTGAGAGATTTTTTGGTCTTTTGCTATCTTTCCTCCCTTTATTTCACCTTTTCATGGTTTGCTTTGTTTTGCATTTTTTTAGTTTATTATTTATCTGATATTTTGATTATGCAATTGCGTTTTCTGTTTATGCAGTGATCCATATAGGTATATCCATTTTCTCATGTCTGTTCTTGCTTTTATACATTTTCTTTTTTTTATATGTGTGCATGTTTTCCCCCCGGAACCCCCATGTTTCTGCTGCATCTTCTGAATTCACCCGTAGCTAATTTATCCTCCCTCCTGGAGTCATGTGATCTTGGGAGGTAGGATTGACAATTATGTTTGTACTATTTATTAGAGTCATATTCACTTGTTTTTTAGCCTATGATTAAGGCCTAATGGCTGAAATGCGTTGGCTTTTTTTTACATGACTGTTTCACAGGAACTTTAATAAAGAGCATTTGATTATAGCCATTGCACTGGAGCACCAGCTTTTTTCTTATGCTTTGCTTAGACAGTCCCATATATCAGTTAAGCAAGAGAACACTGACATCATCTCCTACCTGCTACTTTACCCTGCAAAAAGTTTGCGGACATTGCATCCCGTTAACACGTATGCAGCCAACTAGTTCCTATAGCTGTTAAACACATTTGTAGTACAGTCAAATCATCAGACCTGACCGCAGTGCACGCCCTCCTATAGGCCAGATCACATCAGTGCTTACCCTGAACTGGCTTATCCTTCTAAAGGAACTTCATCAGCATTGCCAATTGGTGTACCACATCCCAGAGTGGAGTTGCTCTTTTGCCAACAAGCCCATTTTACCAGTTTAGCACTTTATTTGCTTAAGAGCTGCTCTTTTCCCCAGCGCATTAAAGGAGACAACATGCAAGTCAAGTGTTATTTAAAGGGAAAGTCCTTGTCCTTTCTTTCTACCCTCATCTTTGTATCAACCCTGTCAAGGAAACTATCACCTACATCACCTACAGTCCTGCCTACTTGTGCACCAACTGGGTCCCAGCGAGTTGAGCGTGCAGCAAAGAGTCCCCACTGCACGTAAAGGGACTAATAACCCTGGTCATAGAGCTCTGCTACCTCAGATTTAAACCTTGCTGTCAGATTCTGAGGGCCGATAGTGAGCTAGTCTCAATTGTTGCTAGTTCTTATTGCTCACTGGGGTTGCTATGGTTACCTCAGGTTCAAGGGCATTGGGTTAATTTCTGAAAGCAGACCTGCTAACACTGATGATCTTCTGCTATATGTGGTTACTTCTTTGGCTTAGAGTTGCTAAGAGTAATTTATTGCTATTCCAGGTATCATTATAAGTTTGTACTGTTCAACTAAGTTTTGCATTGACGTTTAAAAATAAACCTCATATCAGTTTACTCTAATCTGTGTGTGAGTTTACTTTCTGGTGTTAGTTTACTTGCAACAAAAGGGAGCATGACATTGTCCAAAATGTCCTTGCTGTGCTGATGCCTTAAGAGTTCCCTTCACTGGAACTAAGGGGCCAAGCCCAACCCCTAAAAAATAACCCCACACCATAATCCCCCCTCCACTAAACTTTACACTTGGCACAATGCAGTCAGGCAACCACCTAAACCCCAGACACATCCATTGGATTGCCAGACAGAGAATTGTTGATTCAGCACTCCAGAGAACATGTCTCCACTGCTCTAGAGTCCAGTGGTGGTGTGCTTTACACCAACGTGCAACTCCAACGCTTTATATAGCACTTGGTGATGTAAGGCTTCGGATGCAGTTGCTCCATTCATGGACACCCATTCCATGAAGATCTCTACGCACTGTGTTGTGCTAATCTGAAGGCCACATGAAGTTTGGATGTCTTTAGCTATTGACTTTGCAGACAGTTGGACAGTTTGCACTATGCGCTTCAGCATGCGCTGACCCTGCTCTGTCATTTTACATGGCCTACCACTTCATGGCTGAGTTTGCTGTTGTTCCCAGTTTGCTCCACTTTTGTATAATACAACTAACAATTGATCGTTTTGACTATTTAGTAGCAAGGACATTTTTTGGGTGGACTTATTGCACAGGTGGCAACCTATCAGGGTACCACGCTTGAATTCACTGAGTCCCTGAGAGCAACCCATTCTTTCACAAATGTTTTTTATTTTTTTTAGAAGCAGTCTGCATGCCTAGGTGCTTGATTTTATACACCTGTGGCCATGGAGGTGAATGGAAACACCTGAATCCAATGATTTGAAGATGTATCCCAATACTTGTGGCAATATAGTGTATGTAGGGAGCAGTTCTGGTTTTACCTCTGTGCATAATAAACTGACTTGGGTTAAAATCAAAGAAAACCAATCATCTAGGTTGGTCATCAGGTAGTATTTTCACCACCCTTCAATTTCTCTCAGTAAAACATTATAAGTATGGAATAATTTTGTATAAACATAATGCTTCATATAATTATGTCATTTTAATAATGAAGCATCTGAGAACATCATGACTACTTTTATTATGTTTTCTTTTTGCATTGGAACAATAATTATTTATATTACCACTACATCATTCTTAACGTCCTTTTACTTACAAATGCTTCATAGAAGTTAAAAGCTAATTTCTGAAATGAGAAACAATGCAAAAGGGTTCATTCTGTGCCCTAATTTAAATGTTTATATAAACTTTTTCTACTGCAGTGCTTGTAAAACATAATTGTCAATTCTAAAACTTTTTAATCATGTATTATTTATTGGTCAGCAGCATATAGTAACAGAATATACCTAACAAAAAGAACATTTTAAAGCAAATAATTGGCTTCCCACAAATAATACAGTGTATAACTAATAATTCATCATGCATTTTGGTTATCAGCAAAAATTATTGAAATCCTATTTATTCTATCAATGTACAGTATGTAGTTGTATCAGTTTAATAAATTGCATGTTAATGTAGAACTGCTACGGTTAAAGTGTCGTGGACAAAGTTGAAATTATTGTCAAATTGTTAAAGCTGAGCTGCAGGTGGATTTGAAAGAAACAAATGAATGCAGTTCTTCACTTTTTACATTTTACCTTAACTTTATTTTTAAAATGAATGCACTGCAAGTACCTGAATCTTACCTGCTACCACAATTTTCTTACAGTCCTTGCACAGCAAAAACCCAAACTGGGGAAAGGAGAAGCTGAACCAGTAGCCAAACAGTCAGTTCAGCTGCAGTGAAAGAGCATGCTGATAGGAGAGCTCGAAGTGACCAATTCCATTCTTGCTTCTCTTTTCACTGTCCAGTCACAAGGTGGAAATGTGGAGGAGACCTGTAAGTGATACTGAAATATAGCAGAAAAAACGTAAGGTCTGCCCTATCAGACAGGACTGTGCTGTGCGACAGAGCTCTGTAAATTATTATTAATATTATACAGGATTTATATAGCGCCAACAGTTTGCATGGTGCTTTATAAAATGAGGGTAGACATTACAGTTACAATACAATTTGGTACAATAGGAATCAGAGGGCCCTGCTCATTAGAGCTTTCAATCTGAGAAGGGAGGGCCAAGTGATACAAAAGGTAATAATAGTGGGGGAATGAGCTGTTGAGAAAGTTTAAACACAGTATATTAGTATAGAAGCAGGATAGGCTTCTTTAAAGAGAAGGGTTTTCATGGATCTCAGAACTGGATGGACAGAAATGCAAACCCTTTGGTAGTCTTTTAAAACAGCTCCCGTGTACAGTATATACAAATCTGACCTCATTTTACTCTTCATTTTACTGGTAAGGTGCTGCAACATAGTTTCAAGTAGCTTGTGCTGCAGCAATGTAAGAGAATTCAGGCTACAGCTCCCTCACACAAAGTAGTGGGCTGCTGCTCTCCGCCATCCAACACCCGCTGTATTTGCTATCTGAGTAACACAGTTATTATTGCATTACAGTAATAAAGTGTGAGGTCCCAGTTGGGAAATCTTCTTATTCCGTGCAACATGAATCTATCTTGCATGGTTCCAACTATAACTAAGATGGATATATATAGTATGTGTATATATACATATTATACTATATATATGTAGCGCTGCCCTCTCAAGAGCTGAGTATTACGGGTTCCCCATTCACTTCTGAGCCCTGGCTGGAGCACAACCCCTGCTGACACCACTGTAATACCTTGGCCAAGTGTTCCCCCTAGCTATAACAGATACAATAATCACACAGCGTTTGATAAACAGCAAATCGTTTGTATTACAGTCAGATTAGCAGAAATATACACAGAAAGAATCAATGACTGATGTGAGAAAAAATGAACCGCACAGGAGAAATAAACAACAGAGTACAGCACAATGGTACTTTAAATAGTCCCAATTGTCCTGCAGGATTTAGAGTTTAATCAGAGCTCTCCTACCAAGAGAGGTTTCCCCAAACAAACAGAAGAGGAGGGATTACGAATGTTAGGCTAGCTCGCTTGTTGGCTCCCAGTAACTAGAACTAGCGCTCAACTGTCTGAGGTTTTTGGCAAGTGAAAAGTCCCTTATAAACCCTAGCACAAAATGTAGGAAAGACTCCTCTGCTAGCTTTGGTGGAGCTCTTTATGTTGGTGCACAGTGGAGGTATAATCCCTTTTCTTTAAGAAAAAATTACACTTCCCTAAAGATGGTGACACAGCAAGCAGAGTTCCAAGCTTCCCAACAAGCTGGGAGTTTACTTTGAATGCATCAAAAAGGGTACGATGGTTATTTGAACTGAGGAGAGGAGCAGACTTTAGCAGAAGTACGTCCCTTTAAGTGCGAGACTTTGCTGGTGGAACATGTTGCTTCTTTGTGTAGAAAAGGCCTGAGGTAATATGCTTTTACTTTTTACAGTTCCTGCCAATCAGGAAAGCAGAAACTATTAAGGCTGATACACTGTACAGTACTTAAATGGGCTACTGGTGTAGATAGGCTGCAGCACTGATTGGGCTACAGAGTCTGTGTCTCTATGTGGCAGTCTGTATTGTAAGAATCCTGAACTTAAGTAACTGGCAACAACAACTATGGAACTTGTAATATGTTGTGGTGTGGTATGAGTTAGGAACCTTCTCGCCCAGTCCTTCGAAGTAGAGGTGTGAAAGGATCGCCTTGTTACTGGGAGGGCCTCCTTTTCTTGCTGCCTTTTTGTGGAGATAGTGGTACCGATGGCGATGACCCAATCTACCTGTATGCAGGATTGACTATCCTGCCTCTCAGCATGATCAATTATCTGGAAATTCCCATCTCCGTCCTCCGACTCTGACCCAGCATAAGGCCAACTGGATCGGCACCCTGTTCTCACACATTTCCCACCTCTCTCTCTCAGTCTTCTCCCGAGCTTTCCCCTTTTAAATACTCCTGCCCCTTTACTAACTCACTTGGGATCTGTGTTTCTATGTCAGCTAAACTGAATGAAGAAATCCTGCGTGCAGTATACAAGTCCCAGCATTCTCATTCTGCTGTCCATTCATAAAATACAGTATGGTTAATGTATTAGCTGTGCCTGGGCAATAGAATCTTTAAAAAACAAATACCTTGACAAAGAAGACTGTAAATATTCACCTTCCTGCTGAGTATTTGTGAGGGTACTTTTTATTTACTGAACTGGGTACAGATATACCAACAACCTCAGTATGCCTTGTTGAATGAACCTATCCCTAAAACCTCTCATAGTAAACAACGACTGCATCATTCCTATTTCTTGCGGTTAAATGCACTATAGCTGGAGCATAGAAAAAACTGTCTGTCTCCCTGTCTCATCTCAGAAAGAAATGTGTTACCAGCACACCAAGAAATCCTCAAAAGGCTCCAAAGCTTTATATAGTGGTCACATAATATCAACAGCAGCAACGTTTTGGAGCCACGCAGGACCCCTTCATCAGGCAGTGACGAAGGGGAACTGAATGGCTTTGAAATGTTGCTACTGTTGATATTATGTGACCACTAAATATAGCTTCAGACCCTTTTGAGGATTCCTTGGTGTGCTGGTGACACTTTTCTTTCTGGATTGTTTGCGGTTCCTAGCCCGTGGTCACTGTAGCACCCAAACACCATTTACAGCCACTTGCAGGAATGTGTGCATTGGAAAAACTAAATTTTGACCTGTCTCATACCAAGCACACAATTTTGTGGATTACGATACATGAAAAAAACGCCAGAAAGATATACGATAAGGTAAAATGGTTTAAAAAAATTTGTACACCCTGGGCCACTTTTATGAAGATGCGCTTGGATGAAGAAATCTAACCAGATTTATTTTATATAGGATACCTCTAAGTCTGGACACTCACCCTTTACTTCCTTGCCTCTCATTCCCTTTCTTCCTCTTTTCTTTATTATTTTTTCTTGAAATATGGGATCTATTGCTCTTCTGTGATATCAGACTGAATCAAAAACCTTGTGGGATTGGTCTACTCTGAACAAAAGAATACTTCTATAGCTATGGCCATAGTCAATTCAGTAGCATATACCATGGGCTGCAAAATTTATATATGTACAGTTGCGAGAAAAAGTATGTGAACCCCTTGGGATTACGTGGAGTTTTGCATGAATTGGGCATAAAATGTGCTCTGAACGTCATCTAAGTCACAATAGAAGAACACAGTCTGCTGAACATAATACTACACAAACATTAGATGTTGCCATGGTTTAATTGCACATAACATGTAAACATTCACAGTGCAAGGAGGAAAAAGTATGTGAGGCCCTAGCTTAATGACTTCTCCCAGAGCTAATTGGAGCCAGGAGTGAGCCAACCTTGACTCCAATCAGTGTGATGATATTGGATGTGTTGCTGACAGCTGTCCTGCCCTTAAAAAACACACACCTATTTTGGGTTTACTGGTTTCAAGAAGCACTGTCTGATGTGAACCATGCCTCGCAGAAAAGAGCTCTCAGAAGACCTACGATCAAGAATTGTTGACTTGCATGAAGCTGGAAAGGGTTACAAAAGTATCTCCAAAAGCCTTTATGTTCATGTGTGCATGGTAAGACAGACTGTCTACAAATGGAGAAAGTTTAGCACTGTTGTTACTCTCCCTAGGTGTGGTCATCCTGTAAAAATGACTGCAAGAGCACAGCGCAGAATGCTGCATGAGGTAAAGAAGAATCCCAGAGTGTCAGCTAAAGACCTACAGAAATCTCTGGCACATGCTAACATTTTTGTTGACACATCTACAATAAGGAAAACATTAAACAAGAATGGAGTACATGG